ACCCCCAAATGCCCCCACCCCCATCCCAGGCTCAGGTGTTGAATGTCTGCCTCCCCTGGCCACTTGGTCTCTGCAGGGCCGAGGCCGCTCCAGCGGATGAGCTGCACCCACATCTACAGCACCCTGGACCAGATGGACTGCGAGATTAACCTGGCCAAGTTCACTCATGGCAAGTGCTCCACCCTCATCGTAACTGACCTGGCGGCCCAGGACCTGGACATCCTGCTGCTGGGCAACATCATTAACTTCAGCTTCCCGGACAAGGGCAAGCTCTTCCTGTACCATGTGGGTCATGTGGCCCGGGCTGGCTGAAGTGGCACAGTCTACTCCTTGGTGGCCCCAGATGAGTTCCCTTACCTGCTGGACCTGCACCTATTCCTGGGCCCTGCCCTCACCCTAACCCACCTTCAGGAAGACCCCTCAGGTGCAGTCGTGTATGGTGTGCTGGGCCGGGTGCCACAGAGTGTGGTGGATGACGAGGACTGTGGCCTGCAGAACACCCTGGAGATATCACTGGAGCTGCGGGACCTGGGCTGTGTGGCCAACAATGCCCAGCAGCAGTATGTGCCCTTGTGGCCTGTGCCCTCTCCAGAGTCCATCAAGTGGGCCAAGGAGCTGGACCTCATGAGGCTGGCCCTGCTCCCCCTCTTCAGCTCAAGCTTTGAGGATGAGGAGCTGCAGCGGCTGAGGCTGGTGGACAGCATCAAGCAGTACCGCTTGCAGGCAACCATCTTTAAGATCAACACCTCCAGCCGGGACCTGAGCAACCTGGTGATGTGGGCCAAATGGCAGGACTGCAAAGCCATCACCAGCTTTCAGCAGGGCTTGCAGGAGGGTCTTGATGGCCCAGCCCCCAGCTGCCCAGCATGGCAGGCAGAGCAGCCTGGGAAAGAGGAAGAGGAGGAGGAGGTGGCGGGAGAGAGTGTGGAGGACGTCTTCACAGAGGTCATGGGCCAGAAATGGCAGCAGCCAAGACCTGAGTGGGAAGCCAAGAGGCGGAAGGAGGAAGCCCAGCCACTGGACCAGGATTTGTATGTCCCCAATCAGCCGAAGGACTTCAACAGTGAACAGAGCCTGAGCTTTGGTGGGGACAGGGCACCTTTGAGCAGCAGGTGGTTGATGCTGTCCTGGACCTGACATGGGATGAGGCCCAGAACCTGACCAGGGACCAGCAGCAGCTCAAGTAGGACCAGAAGAAGAAGCAGGTTGTGGGACAGTCAAGACAGGAGGACAAGAAGAAGATCAAGACAGAAAGTGGTCGCTACATCAGCAGCATCTACAAGCAGGACCTCTACCAGAAGTGGATGCAGAAACAGAAAATCGCCATATGCTCAACGCCTAAGCCCCAGCGGGCCACCAGCAGTCAGCCCTGCCTGTTGCACTGTTTTGGCCTGATCCAGTTGGGGCATGTGCAGAAGGCAACCAATTGATGTGTCTTTCTCACATCCATGTTTCTCTCTCTGTCTCTCACCTTCCCTTCTACTCTAAAAATCAATGAAAAATGTCCTCAGGTGAGGATTAACAACAACAAATATATATATACACACACACACATACATGCACACATATAAAAAAGTACACAAATGTTGTGGAGGCTAGGGGGCAGGGCCCCACAGGTGCATAAATTTTGTGCACCAGGCCTCTAGTATGGACAATATACCAGAGCAGGTAAAATAGGTTTACAGTTGTGAGCACACAAAACAGAGCTTATTCTTGTATTATTAGTTACTAATTATTGTATTATTTATTTGTATCACAACCATAAACCTACTTTTGCCCACCCCTGTATATGTGTAAATGATGATATCCTATATAATAAAAGGGTAATATGCAAATTGACCCTAAAGGCAGAACAACTGGGAATGGTCGGTTGCTATGACGCACACTGACCACTAGGGGAGATGCTCAATGCAGGAGCTGCCACATGGTTGTCAGTGCGCTCCTACAGGGGGAGTCGCTCATCCACAAGCTGGGCTGATGGCTGCGAGCGCAGTGGCAGTGGCAGGAGCCTCTCCCACTTCCTCAGTACTGCTAAGGATGTCCAACTGCGGCTTAGGCCCCCCCCCCCAGGGAACGGGCCTAAGCTGGCAGATGGACATCCCCGGAGGGGTCCCGGACTGTGAGAGGGTGCAGGCTGGGCTGAGGGCCCCCTGAGTGCATGACTTTTCATACACTGGGCCTCTAGTATATATATATA